TATTCTATTCTATTCTATTCTATTCTATTCTATTCTATTCTATTCCTTATTCTATTCTATTCTATTCTATTCTATTCTATTCTATTCTATTCTATTCTATTCTAATTCTAATTCTAATTCTAATTCTACCCTACTCTACTCTTATTCTATTCTATTCTACTCTACTCTACTCTACTCTACTCTACTCTACTCTACTCTACTCTACTCTACTCTACTCTACTCTATTCTATTCTATTCTATTCTATTCTATTCTATTCTATTCTAAATAATCCAACAGGTCTGGATTGCAAACCTCTGGATGAGAACTAAAGGGCTGAAAAGAGATAACAGAAAATCGCTGGTTGCCGTCTGCTGACGGTCCGGATTTTGGCAAGGCAAATCTAGACGGCCTGTCTTCTTTAATTTAATTTTAAAAAAAACAAACTCGTAACAAATCATTAACAGACGCTGGCAGAGGGTTTTCAACCCCAGTCAGTTCGATTTTTTTAAAGAACTCTCTCCGGAATAGAAAGCTGGACTGCAAAGCAGCTGAAAGAGGCAAAACCGCGCAACGGGGTCTTGCATTTTGTGCGAAAATTCTTCAGCTGTAAAACAAAACAAAAAACAACCTACAAAAAAAAAACGAGACTGCACACCGGCAGCAATTAAATTGCCTTTCTCTGAAAGCCCAAGATGAAAATCTCTTCTCGGCAATCACGCACCTGCGAGGAAGCCTGGGCGATTTCCCCACTTAGACAAGCTTCCGGAGTGCCAGCGATGATAACATCCCTCGGGGGGAAAATAAGGCATGACATTCAAACAGGAGGTTGTGTGCTCAAAGGGATGTGAGACTCTGCAGGTGGGAGGAATCAGACCCACTCAATCATCTGACAAAAGCTGCTGTGAATAAATCTGGGGAACTGGCACAAGCCAGGTAGGCTGTGTCTGCAAGCTGGAGAATATTTTCTAGCTGTTCAGTTTCTTGGAGAGGATTAAACCCAAAAACACTTAATTTTGGGAGTGGGCAGAAGAAAGCATTGCATATGTGTGTGTGTGTGTATGTATATATGCATATGTATGTGTGTGTGTATATATATAAATAAAAATGTAAATGTTCGTTTGTTCAAAATCTTAACTCTCCGAAAGTTCTTCACCGATTGCTTTGAAATTTTGACACAACGTTGCATTCGAATACGCGCGTGTTTTTATATACCTACTATTATATAGACGTCACACCTGTGACACAAACGTGTGCTTTCTCTTTTCTTTCTTTTCCATTTAACCAGACTGAGCCACAGCAACGCGTGGCTGGGTACAGCTAGTATATATATATATAATATGTGTGTGTGTATATATATGTGTGTAACTCTTTGTCAGCCACAAAAATGTTTTTTTTGAATATATATGTGTGTATATTTAGATTTTGCTGGCAAAGAATTAAAGGGAGACTAGTATAGCTATTCTGAGCTATTTAGCTCTCATCAGCTAGCCATGCCCTTCTGAGATTCGAACCCGGGCGCTTGTACGCTAGGCAGCTGTATTAACCTCTCGGCCATGTGTGTATGTGCATGTATGTATATATATGTGTGTGTAAAAATGTATATTATATGTATATGTGTGTGTATGTATAAGTGTGTGTGTATATGTATATGTATGTGTGTGTATATATATATGTATATTATATATGTGTGTGTCTATATATGTGTGTGTCAGCCACAAAAAAATTGTCAGCCACAAAAATTTTTTTTGAATATATGTGTATATTTAGATTTTGCTGACAAAGAATTAAAGGGAGACTAGTATAGCTATTTTGAGCTATTTAGCTCTCATCAGCTAGCCATGCCCTTCTGAGATTCGAACCCCGTCGCTTGCACGTTAGGCAGCTGTATTAACCTCTTGGCTCTGTGTGTGTGTGTGTGTACGTACATATACACACACATATGTATATATGTAAAAATGTATATTATATGTATATATCTATATATGTGTGTGTGTATATATATGTGTGTGTGTGTGTGTGTGTGTGTGTGTACACCAACCCATAGTCCAGAAACCTGTAGAGTGCTAAATTTATGTTTAAGAAGCCCAGAAGAGAAAAGAGGAAGAGGAAGAGAAGAGAAGTGATTTTTCTGGATTTTTGGAGCATCTCACATGAATTTGGCGTTTATTGCTTTTTTTTAAGTGTTTTAAAAAAACTTATAGATGGGCAAATGTCAGTCCAAATCCAATGTAGTTGGGCACACAAACAGTATATAGATATGGCAGCAAATGTCTGATATTGACAATATGAAATAATTATGGAAAAACAGAGATACAAACGTGGGGGAGATGATGCTTAACACCAAACCAAACAACAGCAAAGTCAGTAGATTGTCATGACCAAATATTTATCAATGCAAAACCCTGTGGTGACTTGGCAACCGTTATTTTCCAAGGAGCCAGTGTTAACTTTTAGAAACAAAGAACATTGGTTATTTAATGCAGTCAACTCTCATTTAAGAAATAACCACACTACACCAGGTGGGGGGGGGCTGCTACTTTGTTCTGCTTTTCTTTCGAGGGTCAAATGAATTTAATTTGACAAGGATATTTAAAATTATCTTTCAGAGACCGCTACGCTCTCCTAAAAATGGAACTCTTTCTTTCCCCCCCAGGATGAAATAGTGATTAAATCAAGTTACATTTGTAGTGCAGATACACCTACAGATCTATTTCCATCAGTGGAAAACCCACTCAATGAGTCTCGTCATCCTTACGTGACTAATTTAAAAACTTTTAAAATCACCAACCCGCAAACCAGTTTGAAAACAGACAACGGTGATCTTAACCAATCTTTCTGATTAAAATTTTGACTGCGCAGTGATGAATCCTAGACTATTTGCAGAATACCTGAATGCACCACAATGCCTGCACGCCTAATGAAAAGTAATACAACTATTATTATTTTTTATAAAACCGTTTTAAGACCGTAAATTGCTTCTAAGTGCAAACATGTATAGGGGTATCTTAGTTCTTTCATTTAAATAAGTGGCTACGGAATTTTTAAAGGTGATGTTTGAAGCTGCTTGATATCTGACTGAGCTCCTGGAATTAAAATGGGGAAAGAAAACAAAGGCTTATAGCACAATGGTTGAAAAAATAAATAAAGTAACATTTCAAGGCATAATCAACGATAACGATATGACAGCTTCAGATTCTACCGATAAAGACAGAAGGGAAAGATATTAAAGCATTCAGCTATGCTACAACTTTAGATTAAAAGGAACCAAAATCCATATTTATCCCATTGGCAACCAGAAAGAATAGTTCCCCAAAATTATGGGATGACATTTTGGCTTCTTGCAATTCATGATGTCAGTGTCCCCGCGGGCACTGTGTTTTAAAAACACAAGGCGAGTAAGTAGAACACATTTTCTGCTTTGGAGGAAATGATCGCACCATAAATGAACACACATTAACCCCTTAAATGGGAAAGAAATCACTCCAGCATGCTCCTAAAATCGAAATTCCTTGAGAAGTGTGCAGACTGTAAGGTTTAGCCTGGAAATTTCCCCAAATTCTTCCTGCGTAAATTTGATGGAAACTCGTAGAACGAAAAGCAGTACTGTGTAGGGTAAACGAACCCAGACGTTTACGACCAGGTGGAAATGTGTCAAATTATAGTAAAGCTTAAAGGCCGCTCTGCTTGCACTCCGGATTGTGTACTATTGGAACAAATGTGGGACGTAGACAGGCAAGATTCTTCCACCCAAGCACTGTAACACATTTCTCCTTTGTGCGACGTGATTTGAAAAGGAAGACGAAGGAAAAGGACGCTACGAAAAGTTCTAAGAGTTGCTTAGGAAAATAGCTCTCCCTTTTTTTCTCCGCCTACGTGGAGCCTTAAAATGCTCAGTTAGCGGCGTCTCTACGTTCGGAGGGAAGAGTTTTTCCACTGGGATTTTCTGGCTGGGCGTGGAATTCCTGTAGAGTTTCTAACAATGCTTTCCTCTCCCGTTCCAGATGCAGGACGGTCTCCTTCAATTTGCCTTCGTTGTGAAGCAGAGCCTCCACCATCACTTCTAGGTTTTGGATCTTCCCGTTAGCCACCTTGAAAGAATAAGCAGGAAACAAGGATATTGAGGATAACGGAAGAAAATATCCACAGCAGTAACCCACGGGGTCCCCTCGTCAAGTTTTTAGCTGTCAGCCCTGATGGACGTGGT